GGAATTTAAAATAATATGATTTATTCTTATTTAGAGAATAATTATGAATTTTGAATCATTGCCATACTCCGTACGAACTCTGAGAAAATATATATTATATACCGATAATTTCTATTTTAAAACGTTTGAATTAAGAAATTACAATATTGAGAAAGCTGCAATCTCTCTTCTCTTCGAGAGATTTAAATAAATTACAAAAATTTAAACTTCTCTGGCATTTTAAGAGATTAAACTTTTCCAGTTGAAAACCTTTTCTGTCGACATCTATTTGAGTTATTCCATGTAGGTATCACAAAATGATTAATCACCGGTTGGAAGCGTATCGTACATACCAGCGTTTCCAACGGATTGTACTCATTATCTGTGGCTGTTGGTACATGCCAACAAAATCTGGCAAAATCCGCTACTATTGGTCCGTTTGTGTGCTCTTGGGCTTGTTCATGTACGTCACGCTATGCTTGCATATAAGCTACATCCACAGACATAACTTGGTACTTATGATGAAATACATAGGCGTAGGAACATCTGCAGTTGGAGCCATTCTCAAGGTAAGAATCAGGAGGGATTTAAGTACATTTCATCACGTACACTGCGAAAAAAAATTTTTAATCAGAAAAAATATTTAGTCCGATACGTTCAACTAAAAATTTTAGTTAATTAACTAAACATTAGTTGTTTCAAAACAAATAAAGTACTATTTCTTCGCCAGTGAGTAATAAAATTAACAAACTCCTTTACTTCGACCGAACTGGCAATTTTTATTTAATAAGCACAACGCGTTTCGACCGAGATTCCGGTCCTTTTCAAGTGCGTACAATACAATTAAACGCTTGCAAAACACTTCATTATACACAATGTGGCAGCAATAAGCCTATACGAACTAAAATACAAAGAAAGTATAATAATTACTAAACTGAAGTAAAATACAAAAAATATAATACGGAGAACCGTAATATAAAAAAGAGCACCGCTTACATGTTTTGTATGTCAAATGATGATAAAAGATAGACGAGTCATATTAACAAATGTGATGTTCGGTGGTGCGTTCACATTAGATGACAACGGACGACTGAGTGAGAAACAAAGGCAGAGGTAACCGAAAGCGCTTACATTAAATTTATTATTTTGTCATATATAACGGGAAGGTTATTGGTGTCCTTCTGTAAATTAATAGTGTTGTTGTTTTTTTTTAATAAACACTATTTCGGCTATCTCTTTCTTTTTGATGTGTTTCTCGCTATGTAGAACTTTGGGATGAGACCAATTAAATTCGTGATTGCAAGTAGTTATAGTCGTTTCAACAATTTATTTAGTTTCTTTAATCAAGAATTAATTAATTTAACTAATGTTTAGATAACTAACTAAAATGTTTAGTTGAACGTATCGGACTAAATATTTTTTGAGATTAACAAATTATTTTTCTCAGTGTAGAGAAACAAGATTAGATAAATATTGTATACAATACATGGACATATATAAAATATGTCCATATGTTTCCTTTCTCTTATATAATTTCTACCATTTAAAATTTAACTATATGACAGATTTAAAATCGTAATATTAAACAGTCTCTGTGGAACATTTTTGTCTCGTGTAGAGAAGAGATATGCATGTCCGATCTTTTTTAAGGTGGGAACCTTCCTGCTTAATCGCCGATCTCTGATAAAGTATCACCGGACGCTGAATGATCTTTTCGAGGAGGAACTTGCGCGGAACGAAAAAACACGGACGATAATGCTTTCGTTCCTGCCCACAATGTGCATCTTGGCGTACACATACTCCGCCATTCTGTTGACATTAGTCTTGACGAGTGTTGTGTCTACATATTTAGTCATAATCCGTGGTCTCTGTCATCTTCGTTTAACTACGAATTACACTTTACCAATCACTAGGGGATACGGACAATTATGGCCCGTTTCCAACAATTTTTTGTATCATTTTCATCTGCTCTTCGAGACGATTGTACCGTCGCTCAGTAGCACAACGGCGGCCAGCGTTGAATGTGCCTTTGGCTTCTATGTCTATCAGTTTGCCTCGACGATGCACGCCATGACTTTCAGGCTCACAAATCCTTTGCCCACCGAGAAGTTTTCAGACGTTCTAAAAACGTGCGTGGAGAAGCATCAAAAACTAATGCAATGCCGTGACACTCTAGAGCACAATTATGGGCCTCTTGTATTTTGGCACATTGTCTCCAACGCCGTGCTTCTTTGCTCATTGATATACGAGGCGATGTCAGTACGTAGATACATGAATGCAAAATTTGACGTTCGATGTCGCAATGCTTAATCCATTGTATTATGCGTAGTTAAAGTCGGCCATGAGATAATAAATGTTACGGTTGTACAATTCGTACCGCCGTGTTACGCTAATGTCAGAATAAATTTGAATGTGTCTTGATTTATTTGGAGAACATTTGCGAGTAACACCACGAGATATCTATGACGAGAAATGTCATAGATTTCTCGTGGCCCCTTAATATAAATAAAAGTAAAGTAAAATGTTATCTAATATTTTTTGTTCCATTTTTTAAAGAATGGAAATAAAAATTGCTCTGCGCTTGCAAGACTTTTCCAATGGTACAGCATTGCTCAAATATTTTATAATGTAATATTAATTGTTAAACCTTTGGAACAGTTCTCAAGCTTTAACGTTAAGAAGTTAACCGAGTTTATGACATTCGCTTTAATAAAACTGTTACAATCGTTTATGTACTCATGGTACGGTACTGTCCTGACAAATGCGGTGAGTTTTAATGATTTGCTAAAACAATTATAATAACTCAAAATTTATCCTTTCCCATATATGTATGCATACTCTATATGTATATACATATATATGTATGTACATTCTATATATATATATATATGTATGTACACTCTATATGTATAGTATATATGTATGTATATGTTTAGAGCGAGGATTTTCGTAAAGGAATATATTTTGGCGAA